TTTTATTTTATTTACATTTAGTCATTTAGCAGACGCTTTTATCCAAAGCGACTTACAAATGAGGACAATGGAAGCAATAAAAAATCAACAAAAGAGCATTTAGTGCATTAGCTTACATAAACTAACAATGAAAAATATATTTTTAGAGCATTTATTAATCTTTGTTAAGGTAAGTTAATAAAATAATATTTTTGAAATGTTAATAGATAAACCATTTAATTTCAGAAAAAAAGTTTTAGTAAATGTTAAACATTAAGCTTAACTACGATTGATAAATGCCCTAGTCTAGAAGTATTGTTCATTGTTAGCATGTTAAGTAATGTGGTTAACTAGTGTTCACAAATGATAAATAAATAACGATAAAATATACAGTATTATATTACAGAATTAAAATATGTAAATATGTCGTATATATAATATACATTGTAATGTTGACGTTATGATTTCATATTTTATTTCTACTTTTAAAAATGCAATAGTTTTCTTCGATGGCTACAGTTAGTCTGTAATTATGGTTAATTTTACATTGAAAAAAGAAGAAGTGGTTTGTCTTCGTTTATAAATAAACAAGTAGATACTGTATATCTAACCTCTGGTTACTCCAGTGGGAGTGTCACTGCATGTACTCTGGAAATCGTTTTAGATAAAAGCATCTGCTAAATGACAGCTTGCTATTTACTTTCTTACTAAATGGAAATCTGAACATGAACACAGTATTACCATTGCCTTTATAATTATATATAGAGACAGCTGATGGAAACTAATGTTTACAAATGAGTCTTATTATAAAATGTTACCTATACTTCTTTTGAATTTTCCTTTAACTTCTGTTGTCTTTTTACTATGCATATTTTATACTGTTTATACTCTTTCTACCTCTTAACGGAACTCTCACACAAGCCTTTTTTTGCATTTTTTGATTTAAATAGATTTAGAAATAAATAATTTAGTATGGTTATTATGCTTTTTTAACTCATGGGGACTGTTGGCTAGACCCCACAATGAAGGCAAAACCTGAAATATCAACCTACCCACCCACACACACTCAATCTAAATGATCCCTGTTCATTTTCATTGACAAAACAAGGTGTTTTATAATAAAAATGCATTTAATTGCATCTCTCACATATGCATTCTGGGGGGTAAATGCAGCTACGTGTTGTAGGGTTAAGTATCCTATTAAAAGGCTTTATTCTGAATTCTTTTGAAAAGTACACGGGAGAGCACTTTGTATCAGCTACAATTACAGTAGGTTCATTTTCCCCGGCATGGAACGCCTCAAAGGAAACCTGTTAAATAGTGCAGCACATACTAATTCTCTCTAGTAGACACACCCTGCACAAAACAAATGAGAGAAGATTGCTTTTGTGAATATGCGATATTCTGAGTACAGCGTGTTTTCAGCTTGAATGCTTCAGTGGTAACCTGTCGCAGATCCTGTTTGTATAGCAAAAGCAGAAAACTTACTAGAATAACATAAACATGGCCATGGCGCTGTTTTATCATTCAGAATAGCTTTGTGTGGACAGCTAGTGCTCGGAAGTGCCATGAAAAGAGCTAGATAATATACCTTTCACATAGCCTGTGACATTTTTTCCCCACATAGCCTACAGAAGGACATTTTTTTTACACAGCCTTTTTTTTTACATTAATTTTAATTGTTTTTCTACCCTGTTTGCAGTGTGACAAAGAACTGTTGACATACGTTGAAAATGTTCACGTGATCACATGATCGCAGGTTGAGTGGAAGTGTATTGGCCATCAGCACAGCAGATCTAAAGCGGAACAACAGAGATTGTCATTGATTGGCTCAGAGTTGCATAATTTCATTAGCTTGGTAAAATCAATGGCGGGTGCTTCAGATTGCTTAGGTGCTAAGATAAAATAAATATGTGGTCATGGAGTCATTCTGCAGTTGACTTTTATCAGTTTGGTTGAACTGGAAGCCAGCTGTAAATCACTTACGAGCAGGTGCTGATAATTTTTATTTATTTATTTTAATTTTTTCAGCAGTGTGCCAAGTCACGTTTGTAAATGATTTGTTGATTTGTTGTTCTGAACCCATGCCAGATTGGACTGGCAGTGTTCAATGCTTTCCAATGGCTAGAGGGCTTGACAGTATCAAAAAAGGAAGGTCAAATCCTAGTGAATATTTTACTAACATTTTAATTACAGTGGATCAAACATATCAACAAATAGACACATAAACACACATGCAAACAAGAATAAATAAACGAGGCATATTAACCTATGCCTTGATTCTTCCCAAAGATGTCCTCGTTGAAGGGATAGTTCCCCCAAAATGAAAATTCTGTCATTAATTACTCACCCTCATGTCGTTCCAGACCCGTAAGACCTTCATTCATATTTGGAACACAAATTAAGATATTTTTGATGAAATCCAAAAGCTTTCTGACCCTCCCATAGACAGCAACGCAACTCAACAATTTCTTCTCGTCCATGTCAGTCACGACAGAAGAAACTGTTGAATAAAGTCATTATTTTTTCTTTGGACACAAAAAGTATTCTCCTAGCTTCATAACATTACGGTTGAACAACTGATGTCACGTGGACTATTTTAACGATGTCCTTACTATCTTTCTGGGTCTTGATCATGGTAGTTCCCTTGCTGGAGGGTCAGAAAGCTCTCGGATTTCATAAAAAATATCTTAATTTGTGTTCCAAAGATGAATGAAGGTCTTTGGGTTTGGAACGACATGAAGGTAATTAATGACAGAATTTTCATTTTTGGGTGAACTATCCCTTTTAAGAAATTTCTCACAAGCAAGATCAATTATTAATATTGATTAAATTACATTTTTAGAGACAATATTTCCAGTTACTTTATCTATTTTTGCTATCTATCTATTTTACTTTATCAGCGAAAATAGTTCTAAACAAAGTCAAAGTGCATCTACAAGCAACGTGCAATAGTATTTTGAACAAATCAGTATTATTAAGCAAATCGGTTAAGTGAATGATTCAATGAATAACGTAACAATGTAAACTATGTAATGCATAGATAGATAGATAGATAGATAGATAGATAGATAGATAGATAGATAGATAGATTGATTGATTGGTCAACTTTAAACATCTATGATGACTCTAAAAATATTTACAAACTGATAAAGGGTTTTACCTTAAGACCTTCATTCATATTTGGAACACAAATTAAGATATTTTTGATGAAATCCAAAAGCTTTCTGACCCTCCCATAGACAGCAACGCAACTCAACAATTTCTTCTCGTCCATGTCAGTCACGACAGAAGAAACTGTTGAATAAAGTCATTATTTTTTCTTTGGACACAAAAAGTATTCTCCTAGCTTCATAACATTACGGTTGAACAACTGATGTCACGTGGACTATTTTAACGATGTCCTTACTATCTTTCTGGGTCTTGATCATGGTAGTTCCCTTGCTGGAGGGTCAGAAAGCTCTCGGATTTCATAAAAAATATCTTAATTTGTGTTCCAAAGATGAATGAAGGTCTTTGGGTTTGGAACGACATGAAGGTAATTAATGACAGAATTTTCATTTTTGGGTGAACTATCCCTTTTAAGAAATTTCTCACAAGCAAGATCAATTATTAATATTGATTAAATTACATTTTTAGAGACAATATTTCCAGTTACTTTATCTATTTTTGCTATCTATCTATTTTACTTTATCAGCGAAAATAGTTCTAAACAAAGTCAAAGTGCATCTACAAGCAACGTGCAATAGTATTTTGAACAAATCAGTATTATTAAGCAAATCGGTTAAGTGAATGATTCAATGAATAACGTAACAATGTAAACTATGTAATGGATAGATAGATAGATAGATAGATAGATAGATAGATAGATAGATAGATAGATTGATTGATTGGTCAACTTTAAACATCTATGATGACTCTAAAAATATTTACAAACTGATAAAGGGTTTTAGTATCACTGAGAGTCTTTTACAGCTTCAGTTGCCTGCAGGCTTAATCGGTTAATATAATTTGCTTCTGATTTTGTTTAAATGTGAAAAGCACATAGTTGTTTTCTATTTGCTTGCTGGTGGTGCAAAAGGCATAGTGAGCACATCTTCATGATGAGGTCCCAACTTCAAAAGGCACAAATCAATTTGTGTTCTGACAGTTTGAAGAATAGCAGCTGGCTGTTACCTTAAACTTACCTCAGGTCTGTTCTTCTGCAATCGATCTGCAGTTATCTGTGTAGAATATTTAATTGGCTATGCACATTCCCGGCAGAGAGCTGCATGTGTAAAATCCTTAATTCTAAGAGAGGTTCCAGCCATGAGATCATTAAACACTATAGAGGCTTGTTTTGATGGACAATACTGATAACTGACAGCTGTGTGCATACATATTATTAATTCAGTGTGAGAATAATGGTTCAGTATTTACTGACCCCTTGTATAAAACCAATACCTTTTTGTGCCAAACATACACTGGTCTAATTTTGCTTTGGGGTTTTGTGTAAGCACCTGAATGATTTCAATTCAAAACCATTTGATGAAGTGCCATGGGTCATTATAGCACAAGGTGCAATGGCACTCAGGACTGGAGCAAACAAATGGGGAAACAATATGAACTGACTCTGAATATTCAGCTGGTTAGACCGCACTGTTTTGACATCTGTCCTCTATGTCCCACACTGGTTATGTGTCTGTAAAGTACTGTGGGGTCTAAAAGTCAGAGACCACTTGTGAAAAATCTTTGATTTTTGCATCTCTTTTCAAATTTGAAAACATTTGTTATGAATGTTAATTTAATTGAAAACATGATTTTTTTCAAATGACAAATAAATTGCCTTTTAATAGCAGCACTCTAGCTGAATCTTAAGTATTTCTTCTTTATTTTATGATTCATTAACAGGTTTAAATTCAATTTTGAATCCCAGATTTCCAGTGTTGACACAGACCTTTGGACCATTGCATGTTGTTATAATTACACCATTTTCCTTGTCATTCTTGAGCCTCTCAACTGAATAATCAGTCAGTCAACACTTAAAAATACTTAAACATATCTGCAAAGTCTCTTTTTGGGCATTTTCTGACTGAGCTTGGAGGAGTCTGTAAGCACCGCTTCAGTACATGCTGCTGTCAGATGCTGATCTTGAATGAACAACAGGCAGGAACACTAAACTAGAAGTTGAAATTATCATAAGGACTGTTCATTCATAGTTAGACCATAGCAATCCATCACAACATAATCACTGAAAAATGACATCAATAGAAAAATTTACCAACAAGCATTTATATTAAAAGTGTTATGAAGGAGAGAGATTTGCTGAAACCTGATTTCATAAATCATGCATATGATGTTTTGTTCTGATGTGGGGAATGATGCAGTGTTAATTTCGACAGCAAATTTTTTTGTCTTTTGACTAAAATGCCATATAGTTTTAGTCATATTTTAGTCATCTGAATTGGTTTTAGTTTTAGTCTAGTTTTAGTCGACTAAATCTACAGTAAATCTAGTCTGCTAAAATCTAATGGGTTTAGTTACAGTGTAATGCATTTATTAAGCATTTCTCTAAAATTTCCATTATATAGGTTATTATATAACTCATTATATAGGTTAGATATTAAGATTTTATCATGATAGACACCGATTTAACTGCGGTGACACACAGCATGCCTTTATGTTAAAATTAAATGAAACCACTTCTCATAAAGAACAAGAACATGTTGTTCTTTTTAATGAAATACCAATGGTTATATAGGCTAATTATGCATTCCTTATAGCAACTTGTTTACCATATTCTTCATTCTTTCAAGCAGACATATTTATTTCTATAAATAAATTTAGATTAATCTTTAGAGCTACTAAAGGTTTTCAGTCAAGAGCAATGCGTGATTTTCTGTCTTTCTTTTGTTGCTTGATTAACATCAGTTACTCGGACAACAGCAACTAAATTAGGCTGCTATCAAAAATGTCGTTGACGACAATTATGACGAAAATTATTCGTCAACGAAATTAACACTGGAATGATGTTTTCGATATGGTGCTAAAAATAATGGGTAACAATTTAGTATAGGGACCAATTCTCACTATTAACTTGTTGTTTATTAGCATGCCTGTTATTAACATATTGGGTGTTTATTAGTATTTATAAAGCACATATTCTGCAAGAGCCTATGTTATAACCTATTCTACATCCCTATTCAGAGAGTCTGAGAAAAGAAGTAGCAGCAGCGATGTTTTAGAATAATTAAATGTCAGAACAGATCTGCACTGGAGAGAGAATGTATGCAAGATGAAATTCTGTCTGTCATCCATTTTGCCACAGTGAAAGTAGTAACCTTAAACACACTCAGTACAGCGCAATAATAACTGCTCACGGCAGTCTTGGATCTGTATGTATTTTCCTCATTCTTTTTCTCTAAAACCTCAACCGAATCAGTTCTGTAATAAATCCCCACATTTATAAAACCTGATTTTAAGTTAAAAGTATTTGAAAAGTCATCGTTGTATGATAAGAAATGACTTGTTTGCATTATTCAGAATGGTTTATCCACTTAAGCTCGGGGAGTTTTTTGGTATTTTCGCCTAAATTTAACATACTCAAATTTTTACATCGCGGTTCTATCGAAGATAATTCGATCTGTGATTGTCACACAATGAAATAATCTACATCGTCAAATTCCTGAGAATGAGAGCTTTCTTGTGATATATGACTTGACTTTTTTTGTGAAAAATATATAAAATACACATTCTTCGTAAAAATTATTCGCAATGGTTAGGCGGAAATTCGTGTGTGGGACGAATACATTTCTAAGCTTAATTTTACTGCTTTATGAATATAAAAACCAAACGGTATTCTTTGTAAAGAAGACGCTCCAAGCTTTCAAATGAACCCATATATGGGCTGATACCATATAAGGAAGGCTATGTAAATGAAGCATAAACATTTTTAACGTCATTTTGGACCCGTATCCGGGTCCGCAGAGTTTAACTGGATTTATGGAGCTCATTTACAGTGTAACAGCAGCTGTTCAGATTGGTGGATTTCTCTTCTAAGTTTTGTGGGTAGTGTACTTCTTCATCTAGAATTTAGCAATTCAATTTGATTTAAATTGTATTGAAATCATTCAGACTTATGGCTTCTAGAGAGGCATATACCAAAGATTAACAACCTCTGAGCTCATGGTAGGTCTGTCTAGAAAGGTTAAACAAAAATGGTTAAAAATCTATTTCTCTGTGAAAAAATAAAATAAAAATAATAATGGGATTTTTACTACTTTATGATCAATATAATCCACACTTTTAAAGAGCATTCTGTGACACTAAAGCTTTTTAGTGTTACAGTGAAAGTTTTCCCCAGAGCTTCGCTAACGTTCCGACAAGGTTTTCTTAAAGTTATGAACAAACATTCTTCAATTAACATTTATAGAATGCTTGTTCAAAGTTATCTGACCTTTAATAATGTTCTCACAACTTTAGCACAAAAATGTTATTTATACATCATTCAACAGTAACATACCCATAATGTTTGCAAAATGAAAAAATAAAATAAAAATTGAATGTTCCCTTAATGTTTGTATAACCATGAAAAAAAACACATTTAAAAAGCTGGACATTTTGAGTGGTTATAGAACAACAAAAATACAGTAATAATGGTTTTCTAACTTAATGGGTACATTAGCAAAACACTCTATTTTTGTTAGTCATTTTTATGCTGGGTTTTGACTTTGACATATTGCATCTATTTCACCTGTTTATTCTTTTGTTATTATGAACATTGCATTATTATTTCTAGTATTTAACATACATAGTACAGTATAAGCTGCAGCATAAATTTAGTCTAGTCAGACGTGAAAGGAATGGCGCCAGTGTTCCTTTAGGAGCCATTTAAGCAGTGACTAATTGCACAACATTTGTCTAGCAATGGTACATAATTTGTTCAATGCTACAACAGAAATCTTTACTAATACAGACAAATACAGAAAGAAAGAAAAAAACATGCAGCGGACCACTGAAATGACAGCAGCAGAGTGGGGGAAAAAAGCCTCATGCCATTAAAAAAACACTCGGATGTCCCTCCCAGCGGATGCTGGTGCTATCAGCTGTAATGACATGGCCTGTAATGAGGCGGACACTGGGAATATTCAATCTGAAGGCCATAAAAGACTATTGTCAACTCGGTTAACAGCCAGCTCCTAAAAGCAATGTCTGGTAACATGTTAAGAGTTAGCGGGTGGAAAAGCTTGCTCTGTGCACTCCATCTACCCCAAGGAGATTTAGTGTGAAGATAATGCGGCAGGAAAAATTTCATAAATAGTCAGAACCCTGGGTTTTTGCCCTGCTCTCCCGCTGCAGTCTCTCTGTCTCTCTCTCGAGGCACCTTTACAAGGTGTAGTGATGAGTTGGCGTGAGATGTAATACACTCAGACTCAAGGCTTCTGCCACATTGTTTCAGAACAAAATGTATTGTAGGGACACAAGAGTTTCATGGCACATTAAAAGGGCAAGGTGAAAGAAAGAGAGAGAGTACAGCTGGCTGCTGACTGGTTCCTTCCCTGTATACCTACAACGTCCTGTCTGGTGTATTCCTGGGAAGCAAAGATAGACTTTGATTTATTAAAGATGGAATGGGTTTAGAGGTCTTTAACTGGCTGGTTGCCTCAACTTCTCAAACTCTGGAATCTCTTTAAATCTTCTATTGGTGCTTTCCATGGATAGAGAACACCTTGGTGTCCTGTTTATTTGTATTATTGCATCAGGGACACATATCAAATGTTGTTTTTCAGAACCATTGTTTGGTAAACTATTATGTAACTGCTCTTGACCTTCTCAGATTTAGTCAGATTTTTCAACTAAATCCATACAACAATGTCTTTATTTTAACAAACTATTAAATTTATATACAATTAATTTTAAGTATTTTAATTAACTAGGTTATCACCTAAACCATGAAATTAGTAGCATTCTTATTTATTTTATTTATTTATTCATTCATTAATTTTTATTTATTTATTTTCATATTTATTTTTCAAAAATCAGTGTCGGAATGTTTTTTTTTTTTAATAAATACTCTTATTGTGCAAGACTGCTTTAAATTTATCAAAAGTATATTAGATCAGCATATTAGAATGATTTCTGGAGGATCATGTGACACTGAAGACTGGAATAATGATGCTCAAAATTCAGCGTGGCATCACAAGAATAAATTACATTTTAAAATATGTTAAAATAGGAAACAGATATTTCAAATTGTAATAATATTATATGTAATAATAATATTGTAATGATAATAAATGCAAACTTGGTGAGCTTAAGAGACGTTAAAAACATTAAAACACTAAACTGTTGTTAGAGCGTATATATGAAATTTAATTTGACATGCTAAAGTTGCTGATCAACATTTTTGGAAGTTAAGTACCTCTGTTCATTGAACATTTATTAGGGGAAAAATTTGATTTGTTGATTTTTTTAAGAGTTTATTTATTTACATATTTATTACCTTATTCAGGAAAGTCCATACTGCATTACATTAATGTTTGCACCTTTACATTACTTTTACATTTGGACATACTAAGTATTTTTTTTCTTATGACATGGGAAATGACGTGTTTCAAATGAATCACCGATTGCCCTTTTTTGATATAATTTTAATGAAATGTGATTTCGTAATGTTTCCGTGCTGCCAGTATTTCACATCTGCAATTTCAATCCTCAAGTGGTGTTTTCATGCAATCACAAGTGATTAAAAGAAAACAAACAAATTCAACATCCTCTCATTTTTCATTTGATTTGTTTGGTACAGTGCTGCATTGCGAACAGGACTCCAGTGCAGGGAAATTATCCTGAAGCAGTAGTTTACAATGATATGGTAACAGTTTATGTTCCCTCCGTAAGTCACCCCCTTGACCTTGGTTGAGTGAGCCTGGTAAAAAGCCATAAGTGGAGACTGAAATGTACTTTTCTTGACAGGGTTATTTCATGTGGTCACGGGGGAAATGTGGATGTCAGCGCTCTGTTGTCAAGCAAAAATGTAAACAGATATTTTACATGCTGTCAGACGGGGCTAACGCCACTAACCCGCTGGAGAGCAGTGGCAGCTGCCTCGGGATCACAAGTGCTCTAATATTAGATGCAGAACAGAAGCAGCTCAGCTCTGAGGACTAGAGACCTGTCACTGAACGCGAGCTCCAGAACTGCACTCGAATCAGACCTCCTGACTTCATTCAGGGTCACAAACCAGCCATTGATGCTAACAAATTACATAATGACAGGATCTGATGTGTTGACATCCTTTTTTGATGGATTGACAGCTCGTGTAGTCGAGGAAATGAAGCTATTAGAGAGCTATTGCAGCTTATTCTGGCCAACAACTGCCCACCTAGACAATTCATGCTGCTGTTTTAACATGCTGTTTAGGGACAGGGTTTCCTAAAATAGATTATGCCCCAATATTGGGCTGTAATGGAAAAAAAAAACAATTCAAATAATGGTGCAGCAGTCTTTGCAAAAGTAAGATGTGGTTCTTGCCAGTCGTAGGGCTTCAGTAGCAGGTAGCAGGCTGCTCTCAGTGGAATGCCCACTTCTGAAGCCCATTTGGTTGGTATCCAGCAAGTTGTTATGTGAAAGGAATGTGGAAAGTCGATTGAAGCCTTACTACAGTAGGTTACCGTGGGTGGTCCGTGGGCGAGGTGTCTGAGGCTGAGACCAGAGAGATATTGGTTTTAGATATTGGCGCTAAAAATAAAACAAATGAACGGAATTATTTTAAAAACCTGTCTTTGTTGTTCAGAGATCTGTATTTAGATCTCAAAGCCAGATGATTATAACATGAGACTGAATAAGTGTGGTAATTTAATTTCCCTGGCGCTTCATGCCTTTAAAGTCATAGCTCGGATTCTTGCTCACTTTGCTATAGAAACCAATTATGGGAACAAAGGATTTGGAGATATCGAAGTAGTGCTGAGGATGTAGCTGAGTCATACGTGGTAATGTACTCCTTTAGTTCTTTCCATATTCATATAAGGTGATATAATTGTGGGATAAAGTTTAAAATAAGAAATAGTCAGACGCTACTGAGATGCACAATGCACATTCGCAATTATGAGAAATACAGTCACAGTTGAGAAAAAGAAAATTTCAATTATGAGAAATAGTCACATTGCGAGATTTAAATGTACATTGTGAGATATAAAGTCACATGGTGAGAGATAAAAAGGTGCAATTGTGAGATCATATTTTGAGTTCAGTAGCAAGAAACAGTCACAATGTGAGATATAGCACTGTAAATACAAGAAATAATACTGTAATACTGTTAATAATACTGAAAAAATACTGTTACAAGAAATAGGGAAGATTTAAGTTTACGTTAGCAATTACAAAAACAATGCAATCACAATGTGAGATATAACGTCACAAATATGACAAAATACTTTTCTAAATATGAAAAATACAGTCGGAATTGTGAGAACTAAAGTTTGTTACGATAAAAAAAAATCACACTGCAAGATTTAACTATACATTGTTAGATATAAAGTCTCATGGTGAGCTATAGTTACAATTGCAAGATAAAAAGTAAAGTATTTTGAGCTATAAGTCATATTTGAGAGATAAATGTGCAATTATAACAAAGTCGCAATGTGAGATATAAAGTAGCAAATACAACAAAACAAGTTTGCAATTATGAGAAATACAGTTTTGTGAGATCATTTGTGAAATCAATACAGCAATTGTGAAATCTAAAGTTTCACTTATGGGAAATAGTCTACATTTTCATTGTGAGGTGGTGAGTTATAATCACAATTGACCCTTTGCAAAAACTTGCAATGTCCAACAAGCCATGTCCAACAAGCGGATTCTCACACCACACATCATGTTCTCGTGCAGTAAAAAATACATTGCAAAGAGGAAACTGACAACACGCCGACAAACAAGATAGAGCAGGTTACTTCTGGTATGAAGTAACCAGAAGTAACAAGGTCTCAGCTCTCAAATGTTGTCATTTTGTAAGAAATTCAAACAATAAATACCGTTTTTGTGCCGTGAGAGATCACTGTATTGCCTCAGTTCAAGCGGCACATGAACCGATCGTCTTTTTATATTTACTTAAAGCACGAAATAAACATGAATGAACATCAGAACGTACAGTATTTTACTTCAACCACGGAAATATATCAATACACACCCTTTTTCAAGTTTAAGGCCACCGACGCTAATCTACTCTCCTGTCTGATTTGTTTGTCGGGCAAGATGGCGGATTCGGATTTATGATTGCTCAGATCGCCTGTCAATCAAGCTCTTTGCGAACGGTCAGTTGGACAATAAAAACTGTGAAACATAAAATTGCAGTTACCCTATACTTTTTCACTCCAAGGCTTGCATATGAATCTGATGTAATTATGTGAACACATTTTAGCTCAGAACTGAACCCGTTCAGGTCATGTTCCTTGTGTATACATGATTTCCCACAGAATTTAATAAGGAGAGAATAATGGACAATGTAAAACTCCCATCCATGTACATCCATGAACTTTGTTTACAATTTTCATGCACTACTTGAATTTCAAGACCGACAGTCTCCTTTTTTTTGTGAGCTTAGATTCAGACTCCAGGGGTTAAGTGGTACCCATGGCTCTGTTTAATCATTCAG